GTTTGTGGCTTTTTTTCCCCATAAAACTAAAAAAAAATCAATCAGAAAAGTTTCTTTTGACTTGGTCCGACTAAGCATCAAGACATCAATTGAATTGATTGTGGGAATGACTTAAAAAGAAAAAAGTACTTAGGCCATTACAACCCACATAAACAACCTGTAAGAGTCTTTTTTGTAAATTCAGAACATTGATATACTCCAGAAAAAACATTCCAACAGAAACAAAAAGGCAAAACAGAATGACATGAATAAAATCTCCTCTGTGACAGTTGTTTTTGCTCAATGTTGAATATCCAGAAAGCTTCTTACTCTTAAAACCAGCAGATCACCAAACCTGACCTAACCCTGAGGACTTTAGACTTGTTCTGTCAAGCCCACTACCCACCCCTGAGAAGAGAACATTTTCAAGCCCCTCATCAGAAGAAAAGGCTGACTAAAAGGGTTTGCTAAAATCCTGCATTCAATTGCATTTATCTCCTGATTTTGCAAATAATTTGCAAATTAGTAGACCAATACAATGCACATTTCTAGCTGTAGTTTCCTCCACCATAGGAGGATAAACAATTTGCCTTTCAGTTTCTGTTGCAGATGCCTTGCAGCTGTGATTTAAGAGTAAGACAGCCTCCAGTCTTGCAGCGCTCCTCTCATCCTGCATGGGTGACACCGTGAGTAACCCTGCAGAGAGTAGGAGCTCCTCTGCTCTAAAATGCATCTTTGAATGAAGCAGTAAATCCCTCTTCTCTCCCTATTGCTGTGGTAACAGAAGATGCTGTCATGTGTGTTTTGGTAACACAGTGTCACTGTCAGCTGCCAGAGTTTTCCAGCATAAAACACACAGCAGTTTCCCCTCATATCTCTCAGCATGCAAAACAGGCTTCTTTTTTTTCACTTAGTTTTGAGTTGATTATCGTCACTTGTCTTGTTTGTCTCGGAAGCTTCAGCTGTTTGTCTTCCTGTTCCTGTCAGACACTCCATCCTGTCGACTCTGTGTTTGAATAAAGAGCATTACTACTGCTGTGCACGCTGGTTTATAATGTAATGTTCTACTTAGTTAAGCACTGCATGTTTCCCTTGTGGCCACATGCAGCTGCCCCTGCCTTATGCTCCCCAGGGGGCACACCATGCACTAGATAAAACACTGCCCAAAGGGATTACACACTGAAGGAGACAGCATGGTTGAAATCATGACTGAGCACACTTTGTGGCATACTGGCAAAGAAACTATGCTTTCTCGAACCCTGGAAATCACAGTCTTTTGATCTAGCTTTACATTTACTCTCAATTTTTCTCTTTTTTTCCCCTTTCATTTCTAACTTTTTTTAAGAGATTGGTTTGACCAGTCATGTAATCTAAAATGGGTTTAAAGATGATTAAACTTTGAGGCACGAAGGTCTCAACTACAACAGCATTATCTTCTGAAGTGACACTATTGAAGAGAAAGTTGACAGATTGCTGCGGGGGGAAAAAGCCAAAAAGAAGGTTAAAGAAAAGTCTCTCTTGTCTGTTGTGTTTGTGAAAGATCAGTATTATTCTGTACAGGCCCATAAAGCAGGAGAGCAGGAGTGAGGGAGTGTTTTGTCCTGGAAACAGTTCGATGCTTATTTGAGTTTTTCCTCTCTAACTTGTTTCTCCTGGTGCATCAAAGAAAAAGATCCTGATACTTGTTAGGTATGTCATGTCTGACAAACAACTACAAATATTTGGTGTTATTGCAAATCATATGATATCAGTAAAGCCTTTTTTAACTCTTCATCAGATTATTGGACAAAAGGGCTCAATACTAACAAACTGTGGCTGCGCTTGATGGTTTTGATATGATTTTCAACCAGATTCGCAGCCTTGATCCCTGCAGAAAGAAGAAATCATGTTGATATTTCTCAGGGATGTTTCATACTGTCAGTGTGGTCAGAGTGTGATGACAGTTACATAGCAGAAGAAGAAAATGAATTTGTTACAGCCATAACTCCAGACAGGTCTCATCTGAAATTATGTGAATGAATGTCTTTCACTTCAAAGAAAATGTCCCAAACTCATCATTTTCTGATTTCTAGCATTGCTCAGTGAGAGACTGAGAGTGGCCCCTCATGTGGATCAGGTGGCCCTCTGAAGTTATGAATAACATTACTGTCCGGGCTGTTCAGCTTGCACCAGAGACGTGATTCTGCCAATGCAGCACATCAAATACCACAGGAGCAGGAAGTCATTAGGCAGCAGAACAGGGTCCGAGTGGAGAGGTCAGGGGTCAAAAAGCAATAACTCACCTCTTTGTTTGAAATCATAAAGACATAAATGTCCTCTGCTGACTAGTCAATATCTGAGGAGACCGGCTGCTTTGTTTTCTACAGCAGAGCTGGGACTTTCTTTATTGAGAGCTTTTATCTTCAGATGACCTTTGAAAAGAGAATATTTCCCAGGCTGGGTGTTACTCAAAGAGTCGCTGTCGGAGTCATATCTAAAGGAAGTCAAAGGTCACTGCTTTGAAGTCCTTGAACTCCCGTTAGACACAATGGGCTCTATTTTCGTTCGCGCCGGTGAGGCGGCGGAGGGCGGCGAGCCCCGCGCAGTTGTATTTTCGTCTGGCGGAGCCCGGCGTAAGGCCAGTTTGGTATTTTCGTGGACTGAGTCGCACGGAGGCGAGCCGAGATCCGCCAAGCTGGGCGTGGTGGTGTGGCAGGGGGAGGTGTCGACAGAATCAGCTGGCGCAGTGACATTTTCGTGCTCGCCAACGGCGTGTAAAGTGCGCTGAAAGCTCGCCGATTCAAACCTGGTCAGCTTTCAGCGCAAGGCGGAACGCAGCTGGTCTTGTAGTATTTTGGTAGACCGGCGGCGTATCGACATACGTCACTGATGCCTCACCGGCAGGTTTCCACAGTGTCAGGCACATTTCAGTGCAATAAGTAATCATCATCAACTATTAATCTGAGTCAGCACATATATTTAGATCTATATAGATATATTCTGATCTATATCTGATCTGATGAGCGCGTTTGGCACGCGTTTGGACACACAACCTGACCGAATCAACACAGCTGAAACCGCATCAAATTAAATTAAATATCTAGTAAATAAACACACATGATGAAGTTAACAAGATATGTAATTCGTCTCCCTCCTTTTCTTTCTTCCTCTTCCTCTTATTTCTCGCGCAGCTCGACCTGGACACGTCTCCGTGTCCTCTGTCCGTCTTGCTTGCTGCTGCGACTGAACAGATGATTTGTTTCAGTGCTCAGATGCGTGATCTACTTTAAGCCGACATACGGATATTATAAAATTCAGTTTTGTGAGCCAAATTTATTTTATATGCCAACATCTATGAAAGAAAGAGCCAGGCCACGGAGCGCGATGCGTCATTTACGCACAGATGGTTCCAATTTTAATGCCATTTTTGGAATTTATGGTGTGATCTGTGCGCACAACTCATCTTTGTCATATGGGATTTAAATATATGCAGCACATACATTTAGATCTACAGTACATTTTGATGTATATCTATAGGAGCGCGTTTGGCACACCTAATTGCCACTCCACCTGACCGACTAACACAGCTGAAACTCTGATGCAAACTAACTACTTCACGTCTCTCTACCAACCACAAACAGCTTCGTCATCACAGAGAGAGTATATATTTGGCATGTCATCTCAGAACACTGAGAAAAGAATCAACGCACACTGAAGCAAAGTAAGTTATGACCGTTGTTCTCAAGATTTACATGCAGCATGTGATCTCACAGCTACAAATTTAATAATTTCCATGCTTAACATTATCTACAAAGATGGAGTACATAATTGCAAGGAGGTGGAGGAGGAGGAGGAGAAATTACAGAGAGAGGGTGATTCATCACAGGGCATCATATTTAACCTTAACAGAGCAGGGATGCAGGTGGGCCACATGGATAACGCCTCCAACACCGTGTTCAATACAACTGCCTTTTAACAATCTACTATTTTCCTTGACACAGGACCAAATTACACCTGCCTCGTGAGGTGGTCCACGCGATCACACGGATTTTGGCCTCAGATGCGGACCCCGGTGGCCCATGCGCTCTCCCAGTTGCTGTGAGGGTGACAGCGGCTCTGACTTTCTTCGCCACCGGGTCTTTCCAGCATACCGTGGCTTCGGTGGTAGGGATAAGTCAGGCCACTGTCAGTTTGGCCATACATGCAGTGTCCACCAGTCTAGTCCGACACGCAAATGAGCACATCATTTTCCCATCATCACCTGCAAGCCAGCTGGAAACGAAGCGAGGGTTCTTGTTGAAATATGGATTCCCTGGGGTCCTTGGAGCAATTGACTGCACACATGTGCAGTTGCGCGCACCAGAGACCCAAGCCCTCATTTATGTGAATCGTAAGGGAGTCCACTCCATTAATATCCAGGTGATTTGTGACTCAAATTGCCTGGTGACAAACGTGTACGCTAATTACCCCGGGTCTGCACATGATTCATTCATCCTGGCGAATTCTATCATCCCTACAGTCTTTCAGGGGGACACCCCTCTGGATGGGTGGCTGCTAGGTGATAACGGCTATCCACTGAAAACGTGGTTGATGACGCCATACATTACACCTTCAACAAGACAGCAACGTGTTTTTAACAGTGTCTTCAGCAGTGCTAGGTCAGTCATTGAACGTACTTTTGGAATCCTCAAAATGCGTTTCAGATGTCTGGACCGGTCAGGTGGTTCATTAACATACAGCCCGCAGAGTGTCGGTGCATTCTTTGTGGCATGTTGTGTTTTACACAACATAGCTATACGCCATGGATGCCACTACGACCTCGCCGAGGACACATTACTGGACTTTAGACAGAGAGAGGCCGAATTGCATGTGCCATGTCAGCAGGGAGAGCAGCAGAGCGCGCAGGTGAGGAGGGACCGCCTCGCAGCACAGCTCTGCCCTTAAGTGTGAGTATTTGCTTTCATTCATTTATACACTTTTTGTAATTATCCACATTAAAACATCCAATAAATAGTCAAACATGATTGCATTAACAAGTGTTTTTATTGTGTTTCTCCCCTCCCAACCCCCCTTCTTCTTCTTCTTCCTCCTCCTCCTCCTCCTCCTCCTCCTCCTCCTCTTGGGTCTGGACGCTGCAGTCGGTCAGTCAACCCAGGGGGCCGCCCCCCTCTTGTGCGCGGCCTCAGCGGCCACCTGGGACAGGCGGGGGCGGATGATTCTGCTGGTGGCAGCAGCCTTTCGGCTACCTGGACCAGCCGCTGCAGTGTCGCAACGCCAGCGGCTAAGGGGAGCAGGCTGGCCTGGAGGACCTCCTGGAGAGCCTTTACCTGGGCCTCCAGCGACCCAAGCCGCGTCCCCATTGACCCCAGCTCCCTCTCCAACATCAGAAAACCAGCCCGCTGGGTGTCCAGGAAGGGCTGGTCCTCCCGCTGAACGCGGTTTCGTCTCCGACCCCGTGTTGCCGGCTCGTCTCCACGTCCTGTCCCCTCCCGCGTCTCCGGCACCGGCTCCGGCTCCCCCTGGTCCTCCTCCTCACGGTCGTCTTCGTCCTCTCCCTCCTTCTCCTCCCCCCCGACCACCTGCTGCTGCTGTTCTTCCTCCTCCTCCTCCTCCTCCCTCCTTGTGGTGTGCTGCTGCCGCGACGGCGGCAATTCTGCCGAGGCTGACCAGAAATTTTATTTTAGTAAATCACAGAAATTCTTTTTTTTTAAAATGTTAATACTTTCATTTAGAATAAAGAAGTTAGAAATTGTGTGAGCAAAGTTCATTTCAGATGCAAACATTAGCGGAAAGGGGGAGAAAATACAATCAGGCTTTGTTTGATCCGTCTTTACGCACAGGTGGTTCCGATTTCAATCCCATTACGCATGGCATTTTTTCAGATCACCTGTGCACACAACACACCTTAGTAACACGTGGTTAAATATACATGTTAGTGTCTTTATTTGTGGAAAAGAATGTTTGTCTTACCCGTGAGTCCAACCTCAGAGACACCAAACCCCTCGATACTAATTTTGGGGAGTGTGGAGGACGCCACGTCCTCCGCAGGGCTCAGCACCACACTCGTTGAGGGGCCGCCTCCGGTCGTTGCAGTCTGGCGACGGTGTTGGGATAATTTAAGTTTAGCCCGTCGTCTAACATCATTGAACCGCTTTTTGCATTGCGCAGCGGTTCTCAGCACGTCCGGGCAAACTTGATTGACAGCAGCACTTACCTCTTCCCAGGCTGCTTTTGCATCATCGACCCGTGGAGGTCTGTTCGCGTGACCGTATATCCGGCCACTGCGAGACTGGACCTCCCGGACCAGAGCATCAGTTTCCTCCTGAGAGAAGTTCGGCTGTCTCGCACTCGTTTCCATCTCGGCCATCTGTGAGTCTGCTGCACGAAAATGCCAATGCGCCTCGCCGACGGCGGATTTAAAGGCGAGGAGAGGCGGTTATTTGATTGGCGCAAATTGGACTCGGCTGTGTTAAACCCACTTCACACCCACTCTCCTTCCCCCCACGACGTATGCTGCTGGGAGGAGCTGAGTTAGGGAGGGGGGATACTTACGCCGGGCTGCGCGGCCCACCAAAATACCAAAATGTGCTTGGGAACGCCTTGTCAGCGCGGCGGATCTGATTGACGCTGCGCTTGCGGCAGATCTCCGGCGAAGCACCAAAATAGAGCCCAAGATGTGAGTCTATCTAAAGGAGACAAGACAGGGGTAAAGTGGACCCAAGAGCTTTTGTATAGTTGACCTATACTTATACTGAAGACCTGACCATAAAGAAACAAAATTATGACACATCTTATTTATACAGAGCTTTTCAGACATGATAGATCATAGATGAAGAAGGGAGGCAAGTTTAAGAAAGAGTTTGTTTTCTGTATGACTTGATGGGTGTTTGATCACCCTGCACAAATGCTAAATGTTAGAATAATGTGCATAAATGTATATAGAAGTTATCATTATTCCTCATATTCTTATGTAAGAGTTTATACTACAAGTATAAACTGCTTTGACCTCTTTTTATACATCATATAAGAGAATCATTTATCAAGAGTGTTTTCTAACTTTTCTCTCCAATAGCTTAATTACACAGCACATGAATGTTTCTTAACTTCTCTGTGAACTCGTTTCTCCTATCAGCAGGTGTGTGTGATGTATCCTCCACTATGAACCGTGGGAAGGAAATAAGAGGAGGATACACCCTTATCAGAAGGAGCTCGGTAGATGCAACAAATGTCGCCTTGACCTTCACATATTCACAGTTGTTCATTATTATGTTTTATGAGAGTGCTTACGTTGCTGCACAATTTTCCCCCACCCTTTAGAAACATTGTGTAACCAGGGACAACCCTAAATAAAAGAGGCCGGACAGAGAAAGCACACTCAGAGTGGTATTGAGATAGCTAAAAAAAGATCTCTGTCCATTCTCCTCGAGTATATACTATTGTCTTTCTCCTTTTATATGTTTTCAGGTATTTGGGCAGGTTTTAGACCCAACACTAAATTATTTGAAGGCTGTTGAAGGGTTTATTCTGTGGTATTTTCGTTTTAACTGAGGTACTGCTGTAGCTGCAGTCTGCTGCAGTGAATGACGCACTGTTGTTACAGGCTCAGGTCTAATCATACCAATTCACAGAAAGATTTCCATCCATTTACCTTCAGGGACACCAGGGATCATTGGTTTCTGAATGGATGAGATTTGGACCAATAATTCAGGGTTAAAATTATCTTTATTTGCACATACATCCTTAGTTTTGGCTCTGACAGAACATTTTTAAAACATTTTTTTCTTTCAATTTCAGCACAAGCTTTACTTTCATGAAGTCAATATTATAGCACACCCACTTCCCTAAAAATCAGATAGAGCTCATGTGTCCTTGGAGAGTTGTGTATTTTACTCCCTATAAACACTTTCACATCTCCATATCAACGTATATCAGCTGGGTGGACCCTCTCCTCTTTGGAGCAGATTTCCACTTCAGGATAATGTGCAGTAATTCCAAAATGAACAGATTGATTCATCAGATCACAGTGTTTTTTTACGACACCCTAGTTTACTTTAAATGGTTTGGACCTGGAGAAGTCAATAGCATTTTGGATTTTGTGGATGCAGTGGCGAACTGTGTTTTATCGGGATTAATTTTGAGCCAATGCGATGAGTACCACCATAGAGTCAAGTTTGTTTTTACTACAGTGCTGCCTCAGGGCCCCACAGTTATAGATTTTAGCTTCATTTCTTTTCTATCTCTTTTATTAACATTTTACACTGTGTCCCATCTTTCTGAGTCATGTCCTGCTAAGATGTTTCAATGGAAGTGCCAGCAGAGTTAATAGTGAGCCTTCAAGATTGATTCAAAGACTTGGTTTTGACCACTGGTTCTGCTTCAGTTGATTTTACTGGAAGCTAGTTTACAACAAAACTCATAAAAGTGAGTCTCTAAAGACAGATCTCTTTTGACATGGCAAGCCCTTCCCCTCTCAGCTCACCAGCAGCTTCTGCACACGGCCTGTTCATCGTGACAAATCCTCCCCTCCCAAAAGAAGACAAAGATAGAGGCCCTGTAAGCGCTCCCTTACTGTGTTGCAGTGGGAAAACTATAAAACTCGGAAAAGGTCATTGTAATCAGACCAGTCAGAGGGGACATTTAAGCTGTTACTGCTTTAATTCCTCAAAATCAATCAGTTAAGTGATAAATATCCCCAAAGAAAACACTCTTGGAAAGGAATGAGTCTACTCCATCTTGGCACATTTCAGTAAATTTTGTTTATAGAGCCCATTATTTCTCTATATTATTGCCTTTACTGCCTTATGAGGACTTCATGTTATTCTCAGGGGTTTCAGTGCATGCCAAGAAACTCTCCAGAGACCCTCATGTGCATTTTTATCACCACTCGTGACCCTAGATTGTGCTTTATTGCAAACTGACTGGGTCATGTTTCTTCTTGAAGTGCAATAGAATTCTGAAATTGTCCACCTGGGTATTGTATGTTGTCAATATGGCTCATTTCCTTAACCCTTCAATAGATTGGAGCTGTGCTGAAGCACGTCCTTGGGGGCTTGCAGAGCTCGAAGGTTGCAGGTAATGACCAGGACTGTATGTACTTGACTGAGCACAAAGCTGAGAGCAGGACAGCAGAATCATGTGATGCAAAGAATCAGGTTAAAGGTGCAGTACGGAAAATTTGGCAGCATTTCGCAGAGCAGAATTGGCTGAAATTATAATTATAATTCTTATGAGTGTACTTAAATCAGGGAATAATTGCCTCACTATAAAAACATGTTTGACTTAAAATTTGCCTTGTATGGCGATATAGGACGAGGCTGTAATCCTGCACTGCCTGGTTTCTACTGCAGCACAGAATGAACAAACGTGTGATATCTTGTATTTTACCAAGGAGACGAAAAGGTTTAAGAGACTGGTTGTTGTGGGTGAAATAATCTGAAATGACAGACATGTTTTTGATGACAAAAACCTTAACAAATGGAAGTTCATATATATATGCTAGCTTCTTGTTCTCATAGGCCACTGTAGCTTCACTGCCAGGGGTGAGCAAGGGAGTGTTTCAATTCAGAATCTTCAGGTTTGATAACATTAAGTTCCCATTTATACCTTGAACCTTTACAGTTTTGCTCAACCATAAAAGATGTTGAGACACATCAAAGGTTTTATTTGCTTCTCAAATCAAAGTTTTTCTGTCAGTTTTATTCTATTTTTTCCAAAATGATGTGATTTCGTCATCATTTTAAAAAATTATATATATATATATATACATACATATATATATATATATATATATATATATATACATATATATATATATATATATATATATATTATAAATAATAGAGAAAAACACTTTGGTGAGTTGGTTTGAAATGAAGAAAGAAAAAAACAGTGGGCTATGACATCCTGTTGGTCTTGTTAGTCAGGTTAGAGGTTTTCATCACCATCACATCCGTCATTTCTTGTCATAATTCAAAGAAAAATATCTCCTAGAGTGAGTATCCCATCCTCAGGCATGAGCTTTGTTCATGCCTGAGGTCCTCACATGTAGCATTTATGGCATCATTCAACAGAGCCATCTGATCCTTTGGCCAACAGTCTTTTACTTTCTCCACCTTCAGACTAAAAAGCACCAGAAATGCTCAGAGTTATTATACCTAAGGAAAATGTATTATACATTGAGTATTTTACATAAGCCTAATTCAGGCTTTACAATTTTAGCAAAATTTTCAGGGGCTTTTACCAGGACTGACTGACTGACTGTACTGTTCACATCCTCACAGCATGCAGTCTCCCCTGTTCGATTAGAGGCTGATCATGACTTCAGATAGACACTGCGGTACTCTAATGTTTTACAATCATATCCAATGTAAAACTATTTATTTTATAACGGAATTCTTACATTGAAATTACCTTTTTAATTCATTCTCGTTATGTTCACCTGTCAACACCTAAAAAACGTCTGCTTTCTGTTCCTGTCAATGATTGATCAAGATCAAGTTTATTGTTTTAAAAGTCGGCACTGGGGAACAGATTTTTTCCTTTTTTGGCAAGTAATTTAACATATACACAGCGTTAATGTATGAGTGAAATGAACATATTTGAGTAGAGGAGTTAGTATAAGGTCATCTCACTACCTTTAACATTGTTTTTATCCTCTCATATGCTGCTGTTCAGGGTTCAAAATGATGAAATATGAAACTCTAAAAAAGAGTGTCACCTGTGGAAGTAATATTTGATAGAAGACATGAGTCCGTAGTGGTAAGCTCCTCTGTAAATCTTAAAGATGGATTAACAGAGGATTAAAACACTCACCATACATCTTTAAAAATCTTCAGTATTTTTCAACCAAGTAGCAAAACTACACACAACACCAGCCACAGTAAAATGATGGGGATCCTCTGCCCACTCCTTCTAGTAGTGTGGCAGATAGTCTTTCAGCACTCACATAATGATGACTCTGAGGTTCATTTCTAAGCAGCTCTATAACTGAATGACAAAAATAAATAAAAAATTAAATAATCCTTACCTGAGATATTCTGTTTGTTTTTATCTAAATTGAAAGCTTGGATATGAAGATGATATTGGTATGTTCGATAAGACTGAAAATGTCTATATTGTACCCTTTGATGCTTAAAACTACTGTGAGGGGGTAGGAAGACTGTAGAAACAAACTTTCCCACTGCAAATCTTTGTATTTTTTTAGAAATTAACTTCACTTTAAAAATTTAACAGAAGGATATTTTCTTTCTCAACTAACACCACTTTTACAACGACAGATGAGGTCAGCAACAGAGGGTCCACAGGGGTTGTCTAAATTAACACACAGTCCTTCACCGGAGCTTAGAGCAAAGTTGTTTT